TATTTTTGAAGCTGTTACTGATCAAGAGATTTTAAAATATTTTTTTCATCAGCAACATGTACACTGTTTTAGGGACATGTTTTGGAGAGTTTGCTTTCTATGGCAAAGTTCCTCATCAGAGGATCTCTCTGGAAATTCTAATGTGTGATTTTTATTCTTTTCCAAAGTGTCTTTTTTTTTTCCATAGAAGACTGACAGTAACTCAGTCTCCAGTTATCTGTTTATATAGTTTCTAACTGCATTACTTTCATAATGATATGCTGTATGTGCTATGCATGGATCCAAAAATACCACAATACAATAAATTAGAGAAAGATGATGATTGATTTAAGAGACCTACTATTTTTATCACACTCTGCTACTGGCACACTAGGAATGCAGTTTTAACCAGGCATTCCACTCCTATCAATATCTTTTAGATAAGCTTTAAATAACCACTGGAAAAACACTCTGGACAGCTTTATGAAGATAATAACAGCAATTAAATCATGATTCTTTGGGGAGAAACCCTTAGCAAACCACAGATGAAAATTTCTCCATGAGATCTTCTCAGCCATGTGTGCAGAGGCAGAGAAACCCACCACACAGGCAGGATCAATAGAGCCCCTTGTTGGGCTGCAGCTGGCATCACACCCCAGCAGGTGTGCAGGATTTGGGCCACGTGCCTCTGTCAGATCCCTGTGCTCCTGCCTGCCTCTCTCCCCATCCTTCTGGCAGCTGGGGGGGACTGCCCCACTCCTCCCCCTGGCAACCGGCAGCTGTGCAAGGGCTGCAAGGAACCCCACTCCCTCCACACACAAGGATTGCTCTTTATGGCAAAAGCAGGGACTGGCTGCCTGGGCATGGACAGTATCCATGTGCCAAATGCTCTGGGCTGGGCCTTGGGAGTGCCCCCTGTTCAGCCAAGCACTGTAAAGAACCTTCCCCAGGTACTGCCTTGCTGACTGCCAGGGTGGATTTTTTGCATAGTTTCTTTCATTCAGGGATGGATTGCAAGTCAAACAGCTACAAATGCCCCACTCTAGTGGTCCATCACTTGTCTTCTGGTGGATTATGCCAGGTTTAAGGCATGAGCAGCTCTGACTTGTAGGCTTGAGGACTCTGCAGTGGGACCCACAGCTTTGCAGGAGGCTTTTTCTTCACAAAATGTAAGGATAGGCACTGTCATTTAGCGCCTTTGGGTTTTCTCCCTCTATCCTCTTTGAAGGGTTGCCCCTACTCAGAGCTAATAGCAGCAAATATGTGATAGTTCCACCCTAGAGACAGAGAATGGACCATCCACAGGAGTCTGTGCTGGCTCTGGCTGGCACAATGGCTATGAGAGAAGCAACATCCCCATACCCTCCACACACAATCCCAGTGGAAGAGCGTTGCTGTGAACAACAGGTGCTGCATGTATCCTAAAATGCCTATTGGACTGACAGTGATGAGACATAGTGGAGTCCTATCTTTGCCTGGGACTAACAATCTGAGAGCCTTACCTCTGGTGAAGTACTTGGCACTGTTCCTCAAGGGATGGGTGAATCCTGACATTTGCTCTTTATTGTCCCTAGGATAGTGGTGGAAGAGGTACTCACCATCTGGCCAATCTCCCAGGTTTCTTAGTCTCTGGGTTCCCCTTGGGGTTAATGTCCTGCTGTTCTCCAACATTTTATGGGGAGGTTCTGGCTATTCCAGCCAGCAGCTTGGGCTGCAGACCACTTTCTCACTGCTGCCAGTCAGTAGCTAATGAATGGCTGGAATTTGCACAGAGGACAAGTAACAGCACTGGGAGTGCACCCCTGACTTTTCCTCCTCTGGATGCTGCAGCCCCGCAGAAACAGGGAGAGCAATGACAAGTTGCAATCTTGCTTCAGGCCTTACGTGAGCACATATGCAGAACTGTGGAAAGAGACTTTGTGAACCAGAAAAGCTTTGATAGAGAAAGAGGAGAGACCATCATGAGCAGAGTGGGAATACCTCAAAAGCATGAATAGCTGCTCCTGGTGGGTACAATTACCTAAGTCATTGCTTCATTTGTATTCCTCCCCATACCCAGCCAAGTGCTCACCACTTCATGGTGGCCTCCCAAATGTCCTAAAAGTTGTCACTTTGCTAGCTTCCTCCAGGAATAAATAACCTGAGCAACTAACATGGATTTGTGGCTATCTGAGGACTGCTATTTTTGTGGGAAAAAGCTCGGCATTATGCATGTAGACAGTGAGCCAGCAGTGGAGCCAAAGTGAGGAATAATGGTGCCTTTAGAGCTTCTTTTCCTAATGCCTGCCATTAGGGTTTTAAGTTCTGAAAGGAGCTTATTGCTTTCAGGCAGGACTGTTTTACCACAAGAAAACTGGAAAAAGAAGGAAGAAAGAAGAGGGAGGGGAGAGGAAAAAAAGGAGTCTTGCATTGTATAAAAACAATTGAGACAGTGGCAAGTGGAATTGGTTACTAATGATCTGTGGCTAAGAAAGCATTAAACACATTCAGACTCCAGCCTCTGTGATGATAATACTCGGTGGGTGAGAGGAAGGCGACGTGAATGTCAGCGAAGTAGGAAAGAGCTCTAGTCCTGCTGCAGCGTGGTGTGACTCTGCCAGCCCGGTTTCCGCGCTCAGCCGGAGCCTGGCTGCCTCATGCCCGCTGGGTGCCAGTGATGCTGTCCTACATCAGCAATCAGCAACTGCTCTCCTGGCTGCTCCTTTTGGAAAGGCAAACAAACAAGTTTTTGTCTAATATCTGTCCGTTTCCTCTGGAGTCCTGCCGGGAGCTCATTTGAAAGTGGGTTGTAGGGAGCCTCACTGCAGCAGGGAAGAGTAGGTGTTACTGCTGCAGGAGCTGCTGGATAAAATTCTATGGCTTGCCTTACACAGGGGGTCAGGCTACGTGACTGTTGTAGCACTTCTTGCTGCCCTTAAGATCCGTGTCACTGTCTGCTTCGGCAGGGCTGGCTGACAGCCTAGGGGCTATAACACAGGTTGTTTTGTTTGTGAAATGTTGGTGTTTTGTTCTTCCCACTGCCTGTGACTTTAATTTATACTGCTCAGAAGAGTCTATCTTATGCACTAGGTTCATACAAACTCTTTTATTTAACTCTTGTTTTAAATATTTTTGATGACAATACTTTTGTTGCCACAGCCTCTGTGGCCACATGTCTCTCATCCTGTCAGGAGACCCTTTTCCCTGTACAGCTCTTCTGAGTAGCCTGTCCTGAGAGTGTCCCTGCCCTATGCCAGTGTCCCTGCATTGCTCAGCCCTGCAGCTAATAGCAGGGCAGTAGGAAGAGCAATTTTTCTGTGATCTTTTTGTTTTCTGCCAGCAGATGTGTCAGTCAGCAGTGAGGAAGGTGGAGGCAGGGGTGTCTGCTTTCCCAGCTTTGCAGACAGGCATGGCTGCCCTGGAGTTGCACAAGGATAAGTGCAAAATCCGGCTCATGTTTCTGTGTCAGCCACTGCATCCTCAGGTAGGAGAAAAGCTCATAAATAGGTCCCAGTAACACTTCACAGTTCACACAGTGAGGTGCTGCCAGACAGACAGGTTTTGTGTCAAAAACTCAGTCCAGTCCCAAAAACTGAGAACATCTGGATGATTTCCTGTCCAAGGTTCACCCCTGCAAGGTGGCCAGGCTGGCTGTATTTCATGAGCCAAAAGTGAAAGAATACAGTGCTTAGGTAACCAGGCTCCATTTGGAGATACTCGTTTTATTATTTTGCTAAAATATCCTCTAGTTTGATTGCTTCAGTCACAGGCTCCCTTGTTTATTTGCTCTGCTGCTAAACTGTGATTTCTGAAATCACTCCCTGTTGGGCCTTTTATAATTCTCAGCTTCCCTAATAACCTTAATTTTCTGTTACAATTTTCTTTTTCAGTGTTAACACCTACTATTTTGTTCTTCTTTGTAAACTGGAAACTCTTATGGCAAGCCTCTCTTTAGTAAAGTGGTTGTGGTGAACTGACATATCCTAAAAAAATCCTGTGCTCATATGGAGCTGAGATACTGAGGAAATTTGAAAGATGTGTGAAACACTTTTCTATTAAAACAATGAAAAATAATTTGTCTTCAGTAATATTGCGTAGGAAATTTAACAGTTAAAAATGGTATGGTCATTCCAGTCAGACTGCAGCTTTTGACCTTGCTTGTATATCTGAATTATTAAGGAAGAAAATGAGAAATACATTATACATAATTTTTAATGTAATTAATATAAATTTATTTAACTTTTTATGTGGTAAGTAATACAACTATATGACCTAGTATACAGTGGCATGTTCTTCACTCACTAGGAAAGCATTTTTTCTGGGAAATCTTCTCCTTATGCTGTCTCAGATATGTGAGGCCTAGCTGTGCTAGTTCTTACCATCTCACCAGAATAAAATTTAGTTTTTCTTTAAGAGATGGGACATTTTTTGTGTTGCAGATAAAATCAGCCTCAGCTGTACCATACTACATTTCTGCATGAAATTGTTACCATCTTGGTCTCATTCGCTCCTTTAAATGTAGTGAAAACCACCTGACAGTCCCAGGCACCACTCAGTTTACAGTGAGGGTGCAGCAGTCAGAACTGGCTCCCAAGATGGAATACTGCATCAGTGTAAATCTTGGCATGACACCAGTGGCATGACTCTGGATCTGCCTCAGTGGATGTTAGAGGATATTTCCTTCTTCGGAGAGTTCTCACGGTCTTCAACAGAAGAGCTGTCCTGTGGGACACAGGTTTAACTACTTTTGCTATCTCTTAGGAAAATTATTTCCTTGACAGGGATTTTATCTGGAGTGGATTCCCTCTTCCAGTTGTTTGGTATCATAACCAGCAGAGGAAGAGACTTCCCATGGCATCTTCCATAATAGAAAGATGATACAAGGAATTGGAGTGCAGAGGATAATGCAAAAACAAGACATAATGAAAGCAGTCTTTGTACAGGATGGAAGTTGCTTCTTTCCTAGCAGGCACTCTGAAAACAGCTACCTTCAGCAAAGTTCAAATACTCTTACCTCATGTGCCTTTTCTTCATTTTCACAGGTCCACCATTGATGTAAAAACTGACTCCTAAGAGTGTAATCAACCCAGTTATGAGGTAGGCTGAATGTTTATGATTAATTATTTGTACCAGTGTACCCAGGAGGTCCAATTCAAGGACTGTGGACGTGAAGACACAGATACAGAACAACACAAAGTCCTTGTTCTACAAAACAAACTCTTCATATTTCGAACAAAATATGCTAAGTGGTACAGATCCCTATTCTGAAAAGCTCATCTCTTTTTTATTTAAGTTTACCTCTTTAAGTTTAGCTTTATTTGCCACTTTCTGCTCCTTGCAGTGGATGGACAGTGATCAACCATTTCCTGTCCACTGACTCTACACCATCACAAATTTTCAGAACTGTATAAACCATACCATAGTTTATCATAGCCGGTCTTTCTCTGAGCTCTTGCCACCTCAGATGTGTTCTTTGTGTCCTTTTGTTGGGATGAGGTGATCCTAACTGAAAAAATATCAAAGATGCAGATGAACAGAGTCATAATTATGTTTTGTCTTGTTTTTTTTACTGGCATTTGAGTTGTTTTTTTAAGTGCTTCTGAGCCAAACTGATGCTTCTGTGGAGCTGTCTATTGTAACCTTGAGCATCTGCTACTGAATGGTAATCGTCACCTCAGAGTCCACAATTTTATTTCACTGTGAAGGGTATTTGTTTTATTGTAAGTGCAGAACCTTTCTGTTTCATGTCTTTTGACCCTTTAGGTGTCCCTGCCAGGTCCTTCCCACTTATGCTATGGCTGCTCAGTTTCTTTAAAAAACATTAATGGGAGAATTTACCCGAAGAATTTTGAACATCCAGTTGTATTTTATTTGACTGGCTCACCTGACCCATATGTTAATTAACTTGAAAAAACTCAAGTGGATTTTACAAGGCACAATGTCCCACTACAGAACTGACATTGGCTCTTTCATATAAGTTGCATTCAGACACATATTTGTCCTTTATTGTAGCCTTTACATATTTGTGCACTGGAGTTACAAGCTTGCAGGTCTGTAGCTCTCCAGATCCTCACTGGCATCATATTTGCTAACTCTCAGTGCTCAGCACCTAAAAATCAACATGGGAGGTTAATTACCCCTATCAGTGATTCAGCCCTTAATTCCTTGAGTTTTCTCAGAACTCTTGATAAATACCATCCAGTCCAGACAACTCATTAACACTTGTGTTAACATCACAACAGCCTCTCCACATTCAGACGGATCCTCTGCAGTATTGCCTTCAAAAAATCTTCTAGTGAGGAAATATGAGCAGTTTCTTCTACAGTGATCCTAGAAGCACAGAATCACAGAATGATTTGGATTTAGACCTTAGAGATTATCTAGTTCCAACCCCCCATGCCATGGGCAGGAGCACATGTCACTAGAGCAGAATGTCCAGAGCCCCATCCAACCTGACCTTGAACACTTCCAGGAGTGGGGCATCCACAGCTTCTCTGGGTAACCTACTTCAGTGCCTCAACACCCTCATGACAAAGAATATTTTTCTAATATATAATCTTAACCTGACATCTTTCAGTCTGAAGCCATTCCTCTTAAGTCCTGTCATAAAAGTCTCTCTCCATCTTTCTTGTAGGCTCCCTTCAGGTACTAGAAGGCCACAGTGATGCAGGTATTCTTATACCCTGAGTATTCAGCCTGTCAGTGGGCTCCACAGACTGCCTGGAGGGCTTTTTTGCTCTGATGTTGATAATTCCTGTGGAAGAGGAATTTAGTATTATGTTTGATTGCTCCAGCCAAATGTTCTTCAAACTTTTTTTTTTTTTTTTCCCCAGCCTGCCTAATTATATTTTTGCATTTAGTCTGCCAGGTTTTATGATCCTTTTTATTTTCTTCATTTGGATACAGCTTCTGCTTTTTGAATGATGCCTTCTCAATTCTAATCAACTCTTTTACTTCCCAAATCTTTAGTTCACTGCTCCATCACTCCTGTTTTTTTTATTGTTTCTCAAGTTTTTCCTAACAGACAGTGTGTGCTGGAGCTCTGCTTTTAGTAGGATGTTCTTTGGTAGTCCCTGTGCTATCCATAAGCATGCTGTTCTCCCAGATAACTCATTTAGTTTCTTTGTAAACAAGTTTCCTCATTTTCATATACTTCAATTTCTTGAAATTTAGCCCACTTGTAGTGGCTTTTTGATCTTTGTTGCTCCAAAGAGTATATTTGATCTAAGTATGTTATGGTCATTGATTTTCAATGATGGTTTTCCTATGAACTTTTGAACCAGAACCTACATAGTCTTTACTGTCATGACACAAAGTATTTTGAAATCCTGAGATGAAAAGATTTTTCTGGTGACAAAGAGACAGCTCAGGTACATGAACCAGTGTCAGTGGGATTGATTTGAAGGCGAAATGGTAGAAGAGGTTTAAGAATATATTTTTTGAAGTATTCAAGTGTTATGGAATTTATCAGAGATCAGCAAAGAGGGCAGTGTGGAAATGGAATGACTTAGGCTAATATCACTGGAGGAGCAGAACTGAGGTCAGTAAGATACCATAGAGTGACTTCAGTATTGAGAACAAGCAGAGGAGAGGAAATGATGGACCAGGAGGGTAATTTTTGGTAGCAGCACTTAGAGTGGACTTGAGGAGTAATCAAGCAATGTTTTGGTTTGATGGTGTGGCATGAGGAGATAATATGACCTTTCTCCATACTAATTTGTTTGTACAAAAACAAAGCTGCTTCTATGCAAACTAGGTGAACATCTTGAAGGCATTTGGACAACTGGGCCCCTGTCTGAAGGGGTTTATATATTAAAAAAAGATTAAAACCTCAGAAAATATTAAAGGATTAATGCATGAGAGAAATTTGGGATCAGGAGTTGTGAGTGGTGCTAATGGTCTTGAAAATATACCAGAGTCCTGCCATACTATATTACTTGTGCCATACTGCTTAGAAGATCCTCTAGGAAAATTAGCAGAACCTCAGGTCAAGATGGTAGCAAAAGGCTAATCCTTCAATTAATCAAATCATTGCAGATGAACTTTTTATGCAAAGGGAGCAGGGAGTTTTGCATTACTGTTTTGAACATGTAGGCTTTATTCACTGAGGAAATGTAATCATCAGTCCAGGCAGTGCTTTTCTCCTTGCCTCCCAGCCACTAGCTTAGAAATAAATGTGTGCAGAATGGATGTGTGTGGTAGTAGCTATATTCTTTCCCTCTGATTTATTTGGTCCCATACACGCTGAATACATCAGGCATTTGTTTAAGTGTATCTTTCTGGGTAACTGTGGACTGGAGGAATATTGAACTTGGTATAATACGAATCTCTCAATAAATAAAAAGTCTCCCACTAAATCTCCCTTTATAAAGGCTGAGAAGAGAGATCTGTAGCATTCCACCTGCGTATGAATCGATTTCAATCAGCCTTTAGGAGGTTTCAGGCTGTGTTAGCTGTAGGATAGCACAGCACAGCAGCGAAACTGCCCTCACATCCCTTATTGACAGGTTTGTTATGAAACATGGAATATTTAGATTGAGGAGATTCATCCCAGTACTGCAGATGCCCAGCCCTGTTATCTTCATTTCAAGTCTTCTCTAATGCTATCCGCAAGCACACCAGCTTCCCCATCATGTGCAAAAGGATACTAACTTCTCCAGACAGGCCTTTTCTGCAAATTAACTAGCTCTTTAAGAGAGGGAGACTGAGGGGGATATTTTCTGGTTACTTTTTTTTAAGGACAGTTTCTGTATTTAGGAAAATGGGCCAACCTTCCCATTTCAGAATCCTCTGACTCAGATATGGGCGAGGTGAGAGGTTAGAGGCCTCGTTGTTAATGAGTGAGGCAGCCTCTGATTTTTACACTAATTGAAGCATTTACATTTTTCAGCAGAACTAAAATGCAAAACTAACACATTCCTTGGAGATTTATAACCCCACAATGGATTCTCCTATCCTCTCTCCCTTAATTATGCCAAATTATCTGAACTCTCATGAAGAAGAAAGAAATTAATATTAATATTCCATTTAGAATATACTCTAAAATGCAGTAGAAAATGGAGGCAATAATAATGATAAAGAGGGTAGCTAAGATGATTTGGAATGTATAATCTTTCTTCTCTTCATTGCAGCTTTCTTACACTAGAGCAAGCCAGGAAAACTAGGTCTTGCATTCATTTAGCAAAGCAATTTTTTTCTGCATTAACTTCCAGAATATAAGTAAAAGCTTAGTAAAATATTATTCTGTCTGTTAAACATAATATTTTGGCCCTGTGCCTTGATCAGAAAAAATAATAGGGATAAAAGAAATTGGATAACTTTTTTTGAATAGTGTTTGTATATGGAGGGGCAAATATACAGGTGTGACTCATCACTGGAGAGTAGACAGGAAAAATAGCTAGAAGAAAAGAGCAGCTATAAACTGGACATGAGAGATTATAGTTTAAATTGAAAGAAAGGAGGAAATTACAGTTACCAGAAGAGGAAACAGTGGGGTCAAACTAATAAAAAACTGCAAATGTTGAATTTGTGTCTATGACCTCTCCACTGTAGGTCAGTGAGAGAGAGAGTCTACTTGCATGAAATTGGCAGAGAGGTGCCACAGAGAAGGGTGGAAATGGGAAAGGTGAATGTCTCTTCCTTTGGATGGTAGGGTCAAAGTACCTGGTAAATGTCTGATTGGCCACTGACTGACTTCTCTTGTGTGTTACAGGTTTGTAATTGGCCTTTCCTGCTCCGAGATGGCCCCAGCTGCTGTGCCATGCTCCTGGCTCCCAGCTCTGAGGTGCTGACTACAGGTCTCCCGCTGCCCTGGAAGTTTGTAGTTACAGGATGTGAGTGGAGGATTGGTTTATTTTAGGTTTACAAGTATCCTAGGATGAAAAACAGCCTTGAGAAATGGTTCTTGATAGTGGGATACCATTCACACTGAACACAAAAGTAAGCCCAGCTTCAGATTTAAAATTCAGAGCATATTACATATCCGAGTCCCATAACCACTTCTACATTTTGTGCTGTGTAAATTTGTTCAGTGTTTCCATTCACTGAGAGAAGTCAGGGACTTCCAAAGAACCCACCACTTGTCAGGATGCTGGCTTACATACACCTGCTTTGTCGCTTCACTGTGGGCTATGATTAAAGCTATGTTATCCCATGAAGTAATGTTTGATTCCTCGGACAGTATTTTGTGTCAAGACTGTAACTTTTTAAAGGTGGGAGGGATATGGAGTAATTCTACTCTCCTGTGCTTATAAACCCCTTTTTTCTCACTGCTTTAGTACAATGTTTACAAGTTGTTGTAAGGGTGGAAGACATCAATTACAGTGGTGCCCACTTGCTTCCCTGCAAAGCTGTTGCACAGGGCATCACATATTGGGCCTGAGGATAGATTGTGGGTGACAAGACTGTCATATTAAAAAGAACCCCAACACAACCAACCAAACAAACAAAAAAAACAAACAATAGAGAATGATACTAAAAATAGTGAACAGACTTGAGCTCAGCTGTGAATTAAAAAGCACTTTTTACTGTTTCTTTTTAGCTTGAAAACAGCCTTTACTGTTTTTGTAACAATTTTCCTGCTCTGTTTTGTTTGATCAGATTTCAGAGGCTCAAGACATGTCTGTAAGAAGTATTGAGGCATGGAGAAATGTATAGAAACTGGTCATGGTCTACATACAATCCAGCTGCTCAGGACTGTGCATCACTGCACAGAGTGGTGTGTACAATTCTGGTGTAGCTGGGGTAAACCGTGGGTTGGATATTTTGGGTTCATTTTCCAAATAGAGCTTCTGTGGAAGGAATTTGTGTTTCTCAGCCTTCTCCAACAAGACAAAATATTTGGGAAGGAACACTAGCTCCCAATGAAGTGTTTTGTTGTTCTGTTCAATATAGCAACATTCAGTCTCAGGAAAAGCAATTTTGTGATTCTGCCTCCTTGGTTTTATTTAAAAGTCGGAAAAAAACCCCAAATCAAACCAAAACGCATGGCTAAAGACGTTAGTAGCAGCTACAGGTTTTTTGTGTGAATGTGTGTTTAGAATAGTTACTAGTGAATATGTGACCTTTAAACATAATGGAATGGGGAAACTAGATTTTATTTCTATTAGTCAGATGTAACAATCAAGAACAGTTGCAATCCACCCTTGAGAAACAGCAATGTGATAGATAAAGCATTGGACTGGGATTTTAATCTAGATATTGCTGTAGAATTTCTGCATCAATTTGTCCAAGAAAATTAACCAGAACACTTAGTCTGGCATTTGTTATCTGTGAAATGAATATGATAATCCCACATTACCAGTCTGTGACAAATTCCATGAATACTACTTGTATTTACTGAACAGTTTCAGATTAATTTTTACTTTTCTTCAATTATTTCAAAAAATAACTTTTAAAAAACCTGACTAAAGATATGAAAGCCATTACATTACACACCTAATATAAATTGGCTGACACATGTTAGACTGTCAAATGTCCCCGGATGGGAAATTAAGATAATTTGTTTAAATTATTGAACAACTGGTTGCCCAAACTATCATATGTCCAAGGATATCTTTTACTGACTTCATGATCACTGAAAATTTTTGCAGCAGTCATAGAAAATTATGCATCTTAGTTACATTCCTCATTATTTTTTTTTCATTAAGAGGTATGAGACTAAAATGACACAATTTTATTATTAAAACTAGAATTTGATTTCCAATTATATTTTTTATGCAGCAAAAATTTTATGGATTGTTTTCTTGCTCATCATTTAATGAGAAGCAAAATATTCTTCAAGCTGCCACAGAAGAAAATAATACATACAAAAGGATGGAGAAGGAAATAGAACAGCACATGCTATAAATTGAATAAAATTAATACAAGGTATCTGTGCATGCTTTTTATACATGCCTTTTCTTTATTACTTTGGGTAGAAAGAAATACTCTGCATTTCTCCATGGGAACTAGGATAAGGCACTGAATTCCAGACACTGCTTGGTACCTTTTCTTAATTTGGAAAAACAAGAAATGTGGGGTTTTTCCATTCTTATATCCATTTCCTTACAGTTGTCTCCTGTGCATCACATATCAAATCTGCAGTGGTGCTCATTTGCAAGAAGAGTGCCACATGTGAGTGCATGATGGTCTGATTGTGAAAGACTTGCCTTCCCTCCCTTTTCTGGAGATCCCAAAGGCCACATTTGTCTTACAGTCTCTTTGTTACGGGTGTAGCTAAATGTAAAGGACTTTGGGATGTTCAGCTGTATAAAGTATTGCCACTGAAATGCAAGCTGTTTTTCTGCAGAAAAACACAAGAGGAAAAAACCCAAATAAACAGCAACACAAGCAAATGAAAAGGTTTCCAGGGATAAAAATATGAACACTGTTAGATAAATAAAACATTAGAAAGAAGGGAAAATACTTCCGGAAAACAAATCAATTGGATTAAAAAAAAATATTTATTTGAGAAAGTTGACAGGCTTGCAGAAATTTCTAGCTTCCAAGGTATTTGCAGAGAGAAAATATGATTAATCAAGACACTATCATCAAAGTAAAAACTCTAAGTATTAAAATTTTAACTCTAACTTGTAGAGAGTCCAAATCTTTTCCTCTGTGACATAAATTTACACAGGCAGTAGAAGCTTCCAATTACAGAATTTCTTCTGTATTTCACATCCTTGGAGATAGTGTTTGTCCTTTTGTAAAATGAATGTGAGATTCTGTCCTTCCCAATTTATGACTTCTACGTGACACATTGCAAACTGGAATTATTTATAAAAACAGAAAAAAAAATAAAGCTTAACAAGCTCATTGTTGGATAGTCCTACTTATTCACTGCAAAAGGACACTTTTGCCATGGTGAAACAGTGACAGGACTTACCCTGAGCTGTCATTCAGCCATGGACTAGACCCTAGGTATTGAATACTTCAGGTAAATGCCCTGACAACAAGGCTGTAGAAGTATAGGAATAATCATGTATTTTTTTTTTCTCACCATTGATTCTAGTGGTTTGTGTCCAATGCAACAGAATAGGGAGCTGCATGGAGGTCTCCCCTTCTGGGGCAGCAACCCAGCCCTCACATTGCTAAATAGCAGTCCAAGAACAAGTATCACCCTATCCAGCTCCTCTTTGCTCTTTTTGGAAAGGTAGCCTCTGTCTAAATCCAGGAATACTCACCTGCTCCTCCTTCCATCCAGGTAGTTTTAGGAAATCATGGCTCTACCTCCTTGTAATCTTCCTCATAAAAGGTTCCTATCCCCACATGATCTTCTGAGGGAGCTTCTCTTTAGGGAAGGCACTGTTTGAGCAGGGTGGAAGCACATGTTGTCTTCTAGCTCCAGTTGTGCTGAGCAACTCTTTTTCAAATTTTTTTTTCAATTGAAAGTTTCTGGAAAGGAAGTGAAACTCTGACCAAAAGAGTTTTGCTTTGCTAGAGATCTGATTTTTGCTATACACATATTTTCCTGATAACTTAATAGACCCACAAAAAAAATATAAATCAATAAATGTTCTCTATTAGACTTCTAACTTTGTTTCAGTCTTTAGTGATGGCTTCTCATTAAAATTCATGTTCTGAAAGTCCTGGGTTTGAGTTGGCTTTTATAGCTTTCCCATACCAGATCAGATTAACTCCTGTTATAATCTACCAGTCTATACTGAACTGAAACTAATGTGCCGATGGCTCTCTCTTTACAAAATGTTTAGGCTCCTCAGGTTTGGATTGTTATATGTTGAAGGACAAGGAAGAACAGAATGTGAACTGCCTTTTAAATTTGCAGTTATCCTCTGCATTTTAGTTATAAATGCTTAAATGTCTCGAAGGTGTTGATTCACTTTGTCTTAGAAGTATAATTTGATGAAAATTGGGTTTTCTCCCTGGTTTAAAGGGTACATATCAACAAACATTTCCATGCCAGATGTACTTCAGAGTGAGAAGTTGGACTGCTCTTTAAAATTGGACAACTTTTTCATGTTTTGCTTAAACCTTACTCAGTTTGGGGTAAACTAACTCTCCTGACATTTGATAGTTTGCTTTGGTAAAACTGTGCCCTCCCACTTTTTGACTGGGTGGGTGAAATGCTTTAGGTAAGACTTGACAAATTCTGAATGTTAGTTTTGCATTTCCCTTTGTTTGGAGAAATAGCCTGATGTATTTTATTTCCTGAAGCATATGTTAAGAAAACGTCTCGCACAGTTGCTTTATTTCTGCTCTAGAGTGAAACGCTGTTGGAAGGTGGGAGAAGGGCCTTAGCTGAGTTGAAACTAAAGCAAAAAAAAAAAAAAAA